TTATTCTATATATTTATTTAGCTTTTGAAAATACCTTTATTTCGTTGCATGAAAAAGAATTTTATTTTGAAGATATGAGCTTTATATTAATGAAACTCACCCAAATATTACATTCCATGAAAGTAATAGAGCCTTTTCTTGATGGGTCCACAAACATGAGAAGGGTGAACTGATTCTGGGATTCAGCTCTTGCATGCTAGAATCCTAAGACAGATGGATTATCCCTCATTCACAGATAAAACATGCTATAATCTAAGTAAGTTAATGCTGGTAGTTAAAACCTGTGTCCTCACTAAATTCATAGTTTATGAAGTTAAACAAGGAAACAAGAAACCAAAACAGGAGAATAATTGCTACAATATATTGTGCCTTATAAAGTAGCAACATTATATTTCTAAGGCCTTGGAAAAGAATGGTAAAACATCAGTTTTTAAGATTTTAATTTTACAATGAAATCTGGCTGCCTTGTTGAGAAAAACAAATCTCTTGAGTTTTAGACACAAACAAAGAGAACTCTTTCTGGTTTTATTCTTAAAATAAATGTTAATTCCTAAGGTAGCGTTTCCTTCGCTTTAGCCAGAAATGTTCTGTGGTGGTTTGGGCACTGTTCAGACTCACCACAGCAGCAAACTGTAAAGTCTGCGTTGTGTTTGTAAGGTACTTCTGTCACATGTCTGTTCAGGACTCATCCGTGTAAACCAAATCTGTCCAGGGCTTGCATATTTTTAGGTGTTTCCAGGCTCTTGGTCTTATGTTACTGTCTTGTCTCCTTTCTGACTTGTCCTTACTTCCTATCTTCTTTTTCTCTCATTATTAACTGGCACAAGTCCCAGCATTCACTGTGCCCCTTCAGTGCTAAGACACATGTTGCCTACCAAACGGTCTGTTGGCTGAAGCACTTTCAGAATAGTGGGAGCTGATCAGAATGTTTTTACAGCTCTGAACAGCTCCTGCATAGGGTGATTTGGGTTTTTATGTGTAAAACAGGGTAAGACCACATGAAAGAATAACCAAAGCCTAGTCTATAGCTGGAACTGCTGAAAGCACTCTACATGCACTAACTTGATGGGACTCAGTAGCTTTTGTTATTTTTCTGTTTACTGGATGAGGGAACCAAGGCACAAGAGATTAATGTGAATTTGTCAGGATGCAGATACAAAGGGTCCGGTCAAGTGCATTCTCTAATCCACCGATTGTGCTGCCTTGCATTCTTGTGTCTATGCTCCATTGCTTCCTGGCTCCTGGGCCACTTTGTTTCACTGACTCACTTTTTTCATCTTTGGGGGGAAATGAGTGGAGATAAAACTTAACTATAATACTGTTGACAGTTTTGGTGTGAACTCCCCAGCTTTCAGTGGTTTACTTTCCTGAAAATGAACCCCAAACTTGCCATTTTCAAGGAAATACATTCTTAAAAGAAATATCTGTACTGGAGAGCCATTCTTATCACTGAGACTGAGAAAATATCAGATATATTGGACAATATACTAAGTATTAAAGAAGAAATCCTTTTTCTCTTCAACACCTTTACTTTCTTAGAGTATTTCTGGCAAGAACATTGCCGCAGAAGGTGGGTCTCACTAGACTTCTCCGCAGGTAAGGGAAGTGCCTTTCTGTAACCTCCTGAGTTTAAGGGTCTTAGAAGTCCTGCAGAAACCTCGGTTTCTGAAGATGAAGATCTCTCTCTCTCTCTCTCTCTCTCTCTCTCTCTCTCTCTCGGATTTTGGTACAAGGGCCTCTCATTGTAATCTAGGCTGTAATCCTCGAACTCCCTATTCATTCCAGGCAGTCCATAAACTCACAGAGATTTATCTACCTCTTTGCCTTAGAATGATAGGATGAAGGGAGTGTGCCACCACACCAGGACCATATGATTTCTTCATATTCAATATATCAAGCAACAGAAAAATGAAATACTGAGTTGTGGGTGGTTTTTTTAATGAGCTTTTTCAATCACATTTTGTTTTGACTCAAATTAATTTCCCATCTCTTGGACCCCCAAAGACCTCTCATTTTCTTATCTTTATTTGCATTAAAGCATTTTAAATTTATCTTAATATTATTAGCATTTAGAATTTTTTTTATGTCAGTGTTTAGCCTGAGGATGGTCATATATTCACTGAAAAACTCTAAAGAATTATGTTGGAAAAATTCCCAATTTCTAAATATGTAAAGAGACATATCTTATATACACATTAAAATGAATCGCTATAGGTCAGTGATCAATGAGTAATAGCACAGTGCTGGCTGTGTCCTGCTCTCTTTCAAGTGCACAACAAAGAAGCTATCAGAGCATTTTTGTGTGTATACTTCTAGTTCATAGGTCAATTTCTCAAAGAACTGCACTCAAAGCATTCCCTTAAAGTAAATACATTGAAGAAATGATATTTGTATACATATTATTTTGTCCCATATGTACTTTCTTAGATATAGACATATTCATTTAATATGTAAATACATAAAACTTAATAATTTCCCCTTATATTTGAATGTTTCTGAATTCTATGAAGTATTTTGTGTAAAGAGTAATATGCCTACCACTAAATTACACATAAATCATGGTGCTTTTTCCTGTCTTTCTTTATCCATGCTGTTTCATATATATATATATATATATTTAAAGCCATGTTATTATATAGCACATAGTTTCCAACTAAGTATATATTCACATGTTTGTACCCATAAGTATTTAATATGTCATGAGTATTTTCTGACAAAGAAGTTGAAATTACAAAGCATAGGTTCAAAATAGGCTTTTCCTCTAGTATCATCATTTAGTGATCTCATCTTAAATTAAGCATCCTTCATATTTGTATGTGCTGTGTGACTGACTTCGGAGAAGAATCAGAAAAGTCATTCTTCTATTCAAACCTCCAGAGTCTGTGTTAACTGGTGAAGGCATGAGAGGAACATAATTACAGAACCACATCTCTTGCAGAATTTTTTTTTGTTCATTTGTTCCCTGCTTACAAAATTTTTAGAGATGATTTTCTTCCTTTAAAACCTATTTTACTTGTAGTTTATTCTGTTTGAGTTCTTTATTGGGGTGAACATTACAACTCAGTCAATTGCACAAATATCCTTTGAATATACTAAAAAAAGTATGTTTTTGTTAGTGATATCAACAACTGCTCTTAAGAGTTAGTTTTTTCATGTAGTTGTTGAAGTATCTTATTTTAGTGTAAATCCAGATTTAAGTATGGTCCAACCACACTATTTCTGTGTAAGAGTAGAATCTTGCACAAAGGAGTTAAACTCTGACTTTATTTTCTTAAATCTTTAAAATGTTAATAATGCCTACGCTGCAGGGTTGTATAAGAATTAAGCAACAGCCTCTGCCTTATAAGTGCTGGTCTTTCAATATGATTTTGTTTACTCTTGTTTTTAATGTGTTGGTGCAACCTAAAAGGGAAAACGGCATCTTGGATGTAAGCAGAAGTGGAATATTTTAAGCACTGGTTTGCAATTATGTAAGTAAATGGAAGAAGTGCAAGGAGGATATTGATGGCTTGCTTTTCCTCAGCAGAGCTGCATTAAACATAAAGGGGAGTCGTTTTATTGAATAATAAAAGCCTGACAATCACTGTGATTGGCTGGCGGCCATGACTGCAGTGCAATTCTAAACAGCTTGTTTTTCAAAGGTCTTCTTAAATACCTCTATCTAAACCAAGACATAGCCTGGCCTGATCTGAAGTACCAAAACTCATTTTTAAAGTGAAGTTGCTCACATTGCAATATCTCCAATATCTCTAATAGTGAAAGAAAAATATACACATTAGAATTAACTTCTCTTTAGAGCATTTGGATCTGGATATTTTGAAGAAATAGAAAATAGAAAAGTTGGAAATTTTAACAAACTCAGGTTGAGATAGCAAAATTCATGAGCCATGTTTGAAAGGATCTACTAAAAACAAAATGAAGCAAAATAAAACAAAAGAATGAAGATCAACATGGTCTTAGCACAAACCACAATGTTTGCTCTACATTCTCCAGATGAAAATCCAGTAACTCCAGCACAGAATTTAAGGCTTCCGAAGTTCTGGAATCCACTCCAATGCACCCATCTGTCCCTGTCAGCATCCCGAATCCACTCTCGAAAGTGTGTATAATAAGTGGGTCAAGCTGGCAGTTCACCGTGATAAACATTTAATGATTTTAATGGCTATTTTAAACAGCACTTGTTTAATTTGTGGATTAATATTTCATCAGTGAATTCTGCCCAGGATGTTGGAGAAGAATTTGCTGCTAGGCTCTCCATACTGAATGCATACTTTAATGTCAAAACTGTCCAGGTTAGCGTCTTTCCTACACACAGATTTTATCTTAAACATCAACACTGGAAAGAGTGAGATAAAGATCAAAGCAAAAACGTGAGAGCCAAGAAACTGTATTTATTTTCATCTTAAAACGAAGACGTGGCAATTAATTTTGTGAAATTCAGAGTCAAAGCAACACGGAGAAATGGTTTTGATATGAATATTGCATGAAAGATGAAGAAAAATTAATGCCTTGCAGAACCCAGAAAGCTGATTCTGCAACAGGCAGCAGTAGAAGAATCCCAAAGCAGTCAGTGATTGGCTGATGGGATCTTTGTTTCAGCGACAAGCATCCCACAGCAGATGCTTGGTGAACTCCCTGTTTGGCCTCCACCTTCGGAAGCACTGCTCAGTCGCCTGGCTCTAGCCTAAGCCTGGGTTGTCTTCTGTTGAGCGGCTCATGTCTCCCCCTCTCGACCATCCGCCAGGTGCCTGCTGCCGGGCAAGCACTCACACAAAGGACTCACTTGTTTCCCTCTCTCCTCTCGGTGGACTTGCAGCCTGAGAAAACAACTTGCAGGAGTCAGGAAGGACCTGCCTGGAGCAAGAACCCGCAGAGCCTTCCAGACAGGTCGAAGCTGGTGTTCACGCAGACCAAACAAACAATGCCAAGCCCAGAAAAGAATAAAATTATACACATCCACGCCCCCGCCCAGCACTATGCAACAAGCTAAAGAAAATCTCTAACGGGATTTCTCCAAATAAAAGATTTTGTTTTCTCTTACAAATGGGAAATGCCTCAAGACAGCCAAAGGAATTGACGTTGGCTTTGCAGTGGCAACGCCCCCCATATCGCCTAGCACGAACCCAGGTTCCTTGTGAACCACAAGGTGGAAAACAGACCTAGTGGGAGGAAGTGACATAGGCAAAGCAGTTTAGAAGAAATAGGAACTTCGAGATCAAATGAATAAAAGGATCGAGTTTTAAACCGGGCTTGAAGAGTGAAACTTGGGGAGAGGAAAGGACAGGAGCTCTCCGCAGGAAACTACCTGGAGATGAAAGCCGGAAAATAAGGAAGTGGCAAGCGGCAACTTAGAGGTGGACAGCAAGTTGTGTACCCTGTGAGGCCTCTGCTGAATATCCCTAAACTGCCCTTCCTGGCGGAGCGCCCGCAGCATCAGCACCAACGGCGGTACCAGCAGCAGCAGCGGCGGCGGCGGCAGCAGCTGCGCGCCTCCGGCCCGCCCCGCGCGGTCCCCGCTAGCCCGCGCCCTGCCCGTCTGCGTGTGCGTGTGCGTGCGCTCAGCCCAGCGTGAGCGGCACCTGCTAGTCCCGGCTCGCCCAGGAGGCCGCCTAGCCGGGCTCCCACCGCCGTGCCCGCCGGAGCGACTTAGAGGGCTTCGAAGGCTCCGTGGTCGCCCAGCAGCCGCGGTACCCCTGCCGCTTGCAAGTCCGCCTGGCTCCGAGTCACGTGTCAGTGCCCGAGGCAGAGACTGAGAAAAAAACGCGCTTCATTCCTTCTTCCACCGCCATACTGTATTTTCCTAAATCTCATTTTTATTCCAACATTTTACTCCCGCTCGGTGAGTACCTTCTCAGTGGCATTCTTGTCCTATTCTTCTTTTTTGTTCTTTTTTTTTTGTTTTTGTTTTTTTTTTCTTCTTTTTTTCTTCCCACTTCTTTGATTATTGTTTGTATTTGGGAAAGCTGGCAAGCATGGTCTTAAGCCTTTTCCTGAATCAAGTTTTCCTAGCATGCGATGGTTCTCTAGACAAGGTGCTGTGTCTGGGAGTCCGCGGTAGCGGTGCCCGCTGCAAGCGGCTCTCAAGTCCAGCAAAATGTGCAACTGGTTTTATGGAAAAAACGTTGTGAATTGTGGTGCCTATTTTTTCCCTTTGTAATGATAAGAAAGCATGTTTCTAACTCTTTTTTATATACTCTTTTTCCGATTACATTTTTGTAGGTGAGATTTTCCAGCAGTGTTCACAAGTTTGTCGTCTTGCAATTCGGTGCGCACCGCTGAATAAAGACATTAATTTTACATTTTTATGACCTTTTTGGAAGCCTGTGAAAAATATTTCGTTTTTCCCCCTCCTGTTTTTGATATCAGTTGATAACATGAAACTTTTCTTGCAGCTAGTTCATGGGATTATTTTTAAACAAATGCTTTTTTCCTCCTTTACATTAACTATGACTTTTGCACATTTGACTTTTTTATTTAAAAAAACCGAGATAATTTTATGATAGATATTCTGATATCTATATCTATATTATCCCTTCTTCCTCCTCCTCCCCTCCCCGTAAATCGATTTTCAAATAATGGCAGTGGAAGGTTTTTTCCTGGAAAAAAAAATGAAGTGCGATTTGGTTTCCTTGTCAACGGAGGATGAAGTGAACAGCACAACAGCTCGCAGAGAGCAGGTACTTGGCCCCCTCGGTGGCGTTCCCCGTGTGTGTGATGGCAACGCTGGCCAAGAAGTCTGTGTGCGCGCGTGTGTGCGTGTGCGAGGGTGTGTGCGCGTGTACGCGCCGGTTCCGGGCTGTGTCCTAGCCCGCGATGGGGAAAGCTGAGCCGGTAGCCAGAACCAAAGTGCTCTCTCGGCTGTGATTGTTTTGAAGGTGCGCGCAACATCCTCCACCCCCAGCGGCGCCTAGGTTGTGGGGGATGCAGGGGCGACAGCGCCCCGGGAGGTCCGGCAAGTTGACCTGAGCCACCCGCAGCGCCGGAAGCAGAGGGCCCGGCAGGGCGCTGGCAGTGGGGCGACCAGGCGCGGGAGATGGAGAGGTGAAGGGGCGGGGACGGCGGTCGCCGGGAAGCTGGCTGCTGGCCAGGCGGCCGGAGCTAGAGATTTCTAGGATGGCAGAGGTCCCTGAGCACCGCACTCTCGCTTCTGCGTCCCGGGTGAGCAGTGCGGTGGATCCTTCCCAGCCGCCCCCGCTCCTTTCGGCGTGTTACCTTCTCCACTTCTGTCTTCCTCGTGCTTTCCCGGAGGTGTGGAGGTGTTGCATTGATTTTAAGCCCTTTTTGATGTCTTCCGAGGAGAGGGAATGGTCACTTGTATCGGTGCCCACTTGGGTTTAATGAGAGGACTCCTACAAGGTACAAAATCACCCTTTCTTAATTCAAAATAGACAATGTTTCACTCTTCTTTACCATCAGATACTGGTTGTATAGATGTCCCCCTCCCCCAGGTCTGAGGATGTGGCAAAGGGTTATTGAAGGTGGCCCCTGTTATCAGTGCTGAAGTACTCAGTGTTGACCGCTTTCAAAGGTGTTTGCGTGTCCTGTTGCATGCATCCTGTAAATCCAGCAGTACTTTTCATTACTATTGCATTGTTTGGCAATAAAAAGCCTTTTCTCTACTTGTCCCACTAACAGAATCTGTTCCCAAATAAACACAGGTAAGATACAGACTGAATCTTCAAGCCCAGAGAGAAATTAGTAGTAATTAAATAGGTTGATTTTCAACCTTTTCATTTTCTTCCATTTTTCCACTTTAATTGAGAAGTTCAATGTTAAATTTCTTGTGCGTACTCTTTGGGTTATGATTAAATAAACTTAAATGAAATTACTTCTTACCTCATCAAGCTTTTTCTGAGTTATCTTAAAAAAGTAAATAAATAAAAACAAAACTTGAGAAAACAGAAGTACCTATAGCCAAAAGATAAATAACTTATTTTATCGGGTTTTCAAGGGAATGTTTCATTGAATCTCTATATATGAAGCTTGTGGACATGAAAAGTTTGGTGTTTTGTGTTTTATGCATTGCAGCGAAAGAATAAAGACTCCAAAAGAAATTTAAAATGCACTGTCTAGGAAGTTATTCATACTTGTGCCACATTGATATAACTCAAGATATTTGCAAGCGACATACACGTGTTGTTGCTTATATTTATCTACTTATTTATTCATTTATTATTATGTACTCAGCTTTTCCTTATGAAGTCCCATCACATCTTTGAATGAGGAAAAGATTACTTTACTGTCTGTAAACAACAGTCTTTATTGCTTGAAGTGGATAGTTCTAAAATTCGAAGCTCATGTTATGACTCGAAACCTAAATATAGAATTTCTTCTTCCATACAGTGAGGTCATTGTTTAAATATGGCTTTTCATACAGCTCATGCAGCAAACAAAATCTTTTTAAAAGTTATTTGCAATACCCAATGTTTTTTCAAAAAATAAAATAATGTAGAAATGTTCATTTAAACATGTATGTAGATATTTATTTTTGTATGTTATATGCATGATAAATTTTTGAATTCCTTCAAAATCAAATCAAAGAACTAAGCGACAGAGCAAGGTAGAAAGGAACAAGCTGTGTGAGAAAATCTGGAGTCCCTTAACAGACTGGCTTTGCCCCAACTTCAGTTTGTTAGGGGACGACTAATTAGCAGTTCTGCATTGTTTCTGAATCAAACTGAAACCTGAGAACAAAAAGTGTAATCTGATGAGAAGGGAGTTTCCGGTGGAATCTTCTATATAAAATCATGGCATTTGTAGTCTTATGCTTTTATTTAGTTAATGTTAATTCTTTCATTACAACAAATATTTATTTTAAATTTCTCTCTGTTACTTTCAAATCATCCTAATCCCTGCTTCCCTTAACTAAGTCAAAATACTCTAATTTCTTAAATTGGCCACCTGAACTGGAGTTTGGGTCTTTAAAGCTGTGTTAGGTCATCTACTAGAGTTGGCACCGCCTCCTGGTTCCTATGGGAAAATACATGCTGTTTTTATTGACCAAGTTACTCAACAGAATTCTCATCAACTTAGTCATTAGGATTTTTGTTGTTTGTTTTGTTTCATTTTCTTACAGCTTATTTTGGAATATTCTGTAAAAAGGAGAATGAATTTGCCAGTTAAAATGCCAGGAACTACCTGGTGCTGAACTACAAACTAGCATCTAGTATTTTAATAAGTTGTGGTGAAATTTTCACAAACATAAAACTATCTTTAAATTTCCTAGGCTGCTTCTCTACAATATAGACTGTGAGTACTCCCCAAAAAGGCTGGATATATGAATATATTTATAGTTTCTCTTAACTTTAAACATTGCAAAGAAGCAAAATCTTATATGGTGTTCTGTCTTGTATGTGTGGTTTGTCCAAACACATTTAAAATAAGCTTTCATCATTAAAATAATTATTCAATGACATTTCTGTTTATATTTGGTCAGGTTGGCCACTTTTGTTTGTTCGTTTGTTTGAGTTTGTGTCAATGAACCTACATCATAGTGGTGCTATAAGTCGGGACAGTTTTAAACACATGTAGAAACTCCATTAATATTCTTAACTACAAAAAGTTTGTCACTTTGTTCTAAAATGATGACTTAATTTGAAGGAAAGATTAGCTATCAAATAGAATATTTAAATATGAAGTTTCATATTTTGAAATGAAAATAACAGTTTAAGGTAAATAGAAGAATAATTTGAATGATCAAAAATTAATTATTTTCTCAGTCAAAAGAAACATCATATTTGGATATATCCTCCCCCCCCCCCCCAGTATTCTGTTGTATTCTGCAGACACTTTGCCTGCATGTGTTCATTGCATGAGAAACTGGTGTTTATGGAGGGCAGGAGATGCTGGATCCCCTAGAACTGATTTTTTTTTTATTTATATAAATGACCACATTGTTGCTGCAAATTGATCTTAGGTTCCCTGGATTAGAACTCATTGCTTTTAATGTCTGGGCCATCACTCTAGCCTCTGAATATAAGTTTCTTATGTAAAACCATTAATGATTTAAATAAGTAAATAAAAATTTTGTGATGATCTTGTAGTTGAATGGTTTCTACCTGATTGGTGTGTGGTCATTTGCCTTGATTATTGTTATGGTCAGCCATTATGCAGTGCACTAAATTTTTGTTGGGGTTTTCTGTCCTTCCTAATTTCTGTCCTTCCACCAGGTCCCACAGCCCTTTAGCCCCAAAGAAATCACACAGAGGTCTATATTAATGATTAACTGATTGGCCCATTAGCTCAGGCTTCTTATTAGCATATAACTTATATTAACCCATTATTTTTGTCTATGTTAGCCACATGGCTCTGTACCCTTTTCAGTGGGGCAATCACATCTTTCTTCTTCTGTGGTTAGGACAGGACTGGGGAGCACTGGGCTTCCTCCTTCCCAGAATTTTCCTGTTCTCATTGATCCGCCTCTACTTCCTGTCTGGTTGTCCTGCCTATACTTCCTGCCTGGCTACTGGCCAATCAGCATTTATTTAAAACATAATTTACAGAATATAGACTATTGTCCCATACCACTTCCCCCTCATTTTTTTTTAAACAAGAACATCCATAGTCCATTTTTTGGAAATGAGGGCATAGTTTTTCACAATATTTTCTGCTGGTTGGAGGTGCTGATAATCTTAGGAGAACCTAAAAGAAATTTAGAATTATGATCAAGTCCTGAGTGGAATATCCTGTGAGTCTTGATCATCTAAGGCAGCAGACTTGAATCTGTTCTGGATGTAGAACTCAGACATCCAGGCCATCTGTTTGAACCAAAGATTTCTTAGGTGGTTTTCCTTGATCAAACTTGATTTTTTTTTTTTAAAACTCAGAATGAATCCACAGCCTCTCATTTCCTGTGGAAGCAAGAGCAAAATCTCTTCTCCAAAGTAACATACCTTTTGACTTCAATTTTGAAGTTAGGGTATTTTTAAAATATTTATCTTGGATTAATTCAGCAGCATTTATAAATAAATAACGTTTAGCATTTGTTTCTCCTTTCTCAGCATTTAAACAATTTAAAGAGAGCATAATAACATACAGTATCCAGATTCTCTGTGTATTTTCCATCCTTATGTGGTTTTACTTTAACCTCTATTTCTTTTATTTTTACTTTTATTTTTTGAGACAGATTCTTTGTGTATCTTTAGTTGTCCTGGAACTCCCCCTGTAGACCAGGCTGTCTTTGAACTCACACAGATCCACCTGCCTCTGCCCTCCCAAGTGCTGGAATTAAAAGTGTGTGACACTACACCTTGAACTCGCAGAGGTCTCTCTGCCTTTGCCTCCCAAGCTTTGGGATTAAAGGTCTGTACTACCACACCCAACTACTCGCTTCATTTATTTTTATTTTAAGGACTTTAACTTTTAGTCTGAATATATTTTTAACACACTGTAAAACATTTAGAAGTTTCCTTCATCTTTGACTCTTTCTTTACTGTATCTCTCTCTCTCTCTCTCTTTTTTTAATCACATGAGTCTTTAGTTTGCTAAGCCTTATGTAGAAGATTAAAGCCGTGGCTTTGATGACTGGATCCAGCCCATTTCTTAGCTTTCTGAAATTCCAGGCTCACAGCAGAGGTACCAGCAAGAGCCATGTTTATTGTCACAACTCTATGGCGTTTTAAGGTCCCTGCCAGCAAGCAAGCTGCAGCAGTGTGCTAACAAACAACACTCAAATGCT